TGCTGAGTGTTGACGAAATTTCCCCAAATGCCTAAATAAACTTTCAAATTGTTCCAAGATTTAATAGAAGTTTCTGAGAAAGTGCACCCAGAAGCCCTTTGGATCGCAGTGCAACCTGGATGTAGTTAAACATTCCACCGAGTGTTGTTTCACTGAGAATCAAAACCCAATCACCCAAGTTCCTAAGCATAAAATCCCAAACATCTTTTCTCTTTTGTTTCTCAGATGTCACCAGTTCCACTGAATGTGAGACTCTTGCCTCCCTCCAGCTTGTGTCTTCAACTTCTCTGTGTGTTCTATGAGCCAGACCCAGAAAAGCCAGCTATACCAACCTCCCAGACAGTCCTGGCCTATGCTGTCTTTTAGCAAGCTGCAAATATAAAATAAAATGTTATTATATTATATTAGGTTAAATATTCTTTTAACATTCATTTACTAACTAGCAAACACAGTCCAAGACAAGGTCACTCTAGGGTATGGACTTCCTGTCCAAATCTTTCATGTAGAGATCCTATCTATATAATACACATTTGGTTAAAATATATTAACAATCACAGACCCATGTAGCTTACTTATGAAGACTGAAGGCAATGGGCAAAGAAGAAGGATTGCTCTGTTTGTTTCCTGTCTATTTGATACAGGTAGAGTCTGTTATGTCCGGGGTTTTGGGTTGCTTTGGGTTTTGTACTCATACGATTTTTTCTCTAATTATTACTTTTATTCTTCACATTCCAAAACTTGTTGCTGGTTTCTGATCTAGTGTGAGCTAAAGAAACTATTATATTTTTCTTATTTTTCTTGCTGACAGGAAGGAGGAGGAGGAGCAAAACAAACAAAACCAAAAACAAGTTCAATTGCGTTGCCAATCTACTCAGTGGAGCATGGTGAAAACTCCCAATGTCCAAGCCCTTAAAAGAAAACCGTGTCCTTCCCTACCCACACCCCAGCCAGAAGCCATCAATGTGGAGAGCTACAATTCAGCATCCTTATCACAATTTTAAAGAGTTCTCTTTGATAGCTTTATGTCTGGGCTGTTACTTTGTGGGAGAGGGGAGTAGGGCTTGTCCCAGAAGCCTTCTACGTCCCTCTTTCACAATGGTGGGTCTGAAATCACCAGTGTCACTCACTGCAAAAGTAGCTTCCTAATTTTTCAATCTTGATTCTGGTACTTCATCAGCAACTACAACCTAAAGTTATTTTTCAAGAGACCTATGTGGGTGGTAGGGCTGAAAAACAGTGAAAGTCCTTTTATTCCCTTCTCTGGAGTATTCACCCTCTGACTCCTCTGGGCGTGTTTTCCCTCAGACAACACAGACCTTCCCTTGAATGAGAGCTGAAGAGCGATCTGATTTCACTTCTCGCATCAATTGACTCACTAATGACTGTATCTGCAACTGATGATGACCCGGGTCAGGCTGACCTGCTGTGCAGTCTGTAAATCTATTATGATAATGCTATCTTCCAGGATTACATGCAAGGTGGCAGGAAGGTGTCTGGAAGGGTGTCAGATGCAGTCTGAGTTCTTCAAGGAGGCTGGTTGTTTTCTAACACCCATTCTGAACTATGAGAGTGGGAATACTGTATATTTTAAACGTGTCTGTTGTACAACTGCTGAGTTCAGAGTACTCTCGCAAGGGCTGGGTAATCACGCAGATGGTGTGCTTCACGACCAAAACCACTCGCTGTAGATGCCACATTCTGAGAGAACATGTAAATACTTGGCATAGTGGTAGGAGTTTCAGAGGTGTTAGATTCATTTAGAAAGTTACAGCTTTCGTGGTGACAGCTTCTCATTTGAGGCTAGCAGGATTAATTCTTGCTTTCTTATTTTTATTCTTGACATTCCAGAAATTGCCACACAACTTCCTGATCTAACTTGAGTTTGGAGTTGTGTTTTTTTTTTTCTATTCTCCCCTAGCTTAAGAGGGGTGAGGGTGTTGGCTGCTATACCAACAGGAGTGCAGAAGCAGAAGGCCTGAGTGACCAGGGGAAGCTTGTATTACCTCATGTGTGCAGCGGAGTTGCCAGGTCTATGTTTGTGTGCCTTCCCACAGTGCAGTTAATGCCAGCAGAGGCTCTCAGCATTTATATTATCATCCCAAACTTACTATGGGAGCAATAAGAACTAAACATACTTCCTCTAAATTTTCACTTACTTGTTAAATAGATTAATTAAGGCCTTACTCAGTATAAAATATTAATCATCTTTTAGGTCATTCTGTAGAAGTTAAGCCTCTGAGCAGGAGCTAAGTGATAAAGCTGGAAGGATATGGCTGAAAATGTCTAGGACAGACAAGACATACCAAGACACGACGTAGCAAGGGGTCTGGAATAACTGAGGGACAGTCCAGATAAGATGTGGCCAGAGAGAAGCCAGTTGAACAGAGCAACATGGAGATTGATAGCAAGGAAAGATTAAAATGACACAGTCATCCTCCTGCATAAGCCCACATTCCAGACAGTATAATACACCATCACATAGGAAAATAACCAAATAGAGACCGAAGCAGTACCGTCATGGGAATATAGAGGACTGTGGAAACAGTTTTATGAGTATGTAACTGCAAGTTTTATGGAGAAAACAGCATTTATAATAGGTTTTTACAGAATGCCTAGAAGTATAGCAACTCAGGGAAAATAGGAATTAAAGAGATAGAAGAGTTCCTGTCTTCGTTCCTTCTAAGTTTACATACATACAGAACAATCTCTGGGCCACACAGCCTGTCCAGCACAGGATCAAAATGAATGGATGAAGAAGGCATTTGGTTAGTATATAGACTTAATCTTCTAGAATATGCCTTACACCTATAGCACAGTTCTCCAGATTGTATTGTGATGAAAAGTAAAAACACTTTTAGGGTTTGTAATCAAATGGAAACAGGAACATTAGAAGTCAAAATCTCACGGTGTGATCCTAGAAATCAAAACAGTATAAGTCATCAGAGACCTGACAGGGAGGAAAGTCAGGGTGGGCTTCACCACGGCCCTCTAGCTCTCTTCTGTAGTTATTCTCCTTACTTTTCTATAGAAAATTTAGGAGGAAAGTGAAATAAGAAGTGTCACGCGTAACTCTACTTCTAAAGAGAATCAAACAGCTTGACACACCAATGTCAGCCCTACTTGTGCCTTCTTTAATGTATTCATGTTAATATGTAAAACAAACAAACAAAAAAAACCTGGCCTTTGTTTTTTCTCCTTGGTGTATATGTAGGAAAAAAACTAAGAAAAATAAAGTCATTGGAACCAACTCTCACCTGATTTAGTACAATTTTCTAAAATATCAAAAAGACAAGGAAACTTGCAGAAGCAAATAACTTCTGATGGTTGTTCTCTGTTAATGACCTGGCAGCTGTTTAAAGAGTGAAAACACAGCTGGGCGGTGGTGGCGCACACCTTCAACCCAGCACTTGGGAAGCAGAGGCAGGCGGATTTCTGAGTTCGAGGCTAGCCTGGTCTACAGAGTGAGTTCCAGGACAGCCAGGACTACACAGAGAAACCCTGTCTCAAAAAAACCAAAAAAAAAAAAAAAAAAAAAAACCAGTTAAAACACTAGTTAACTCATTAATATGACTGCTGGAGGCAGACAACACAGTGCCCGGAACCCTGCTATGCTCACTCTTCACCATGGCATGTCGGTTTGGTCTTCCACTGATGGCTAGGTTTTTTTCGTGTTCATAGTGTGCAAAAGCACGACATGTATGTGACTCTTCATTTGATCACAAAAATAAACTGTTTCCAGAGAATCCCTTCCCACTCTGCGAGCGCGGGCACACCCTACTGATCAAAGAGAACCTGCACTTCCCATCCTTCAGAGGGGACTCTCGCTTCACTTTCTAAACACACCTTTTCCTCAGTCCCGATGAGCTTCACAGGTCTCTGTGTCCAATTGCGCATCATTGAGACACTTCACAGACATGAACAAGAAGTACTGCCCAGGCCACAGGCAGTTTTGGCTTCTTTCTTCCTCTGTAGCAGGCAGCCCATAGACCAGATACAACCCTCTGCCCATCGTTACAACTGTATTGGCACAGACATGATGATTCATTTACGTGCAGTTTATGGATACTTTCTGCCTTGCTCAGGCAAAGACAATGGACATGAAAAGCCTAAAATGTTACTATCCAGTCCCTTATGGAGAAAACTGTGCCACCCCTGGAACTATGCGTATTTCAGTTTCCTGATGAAGACACTCTTGCATTTGCATCACACATACAAGACAGACGAGAAGTCACAGGACTCGCAGGGTAAGGAACTCTGGTGTTGGTGTTTCTGTGCTATTTATTGAATGGATTCAATAATAACTCAGGAGTCCTGCAAAGCAAAGTGCCCTAGTACATAGAGTATGGACTCAGGATCTACTTCTATTTTCTGGTCACCCTGTGCCTCAGTTCCCTTCTCCATAAAATAAAAATGGCAGGATTTACTGAAACATGCCAAGAATATTATTTGGCACATAGTAACTCCTCCAGAGGTACTGTCTATAAGCAAAGTGGAGAAAGAGGCTCCATTTAACTGTATTGTTTTCATCTTCCTTTTTTTATGGCATACCTTTGAACCTATTCTATAAAACGGAACAGTTTCTACCTTTTTCTGCTTACTCCAAACCAAGCCTGCTGGAAAAAATGATCTGAGGTAGGTGTCGCTGGAATATCCAAGGACTGAACTACTATCAAGGAGGTTGAAAATACACTCGAGAGGGAGTCAGGGACACCAAAAAGTCACAAGCCAGTCAGTACAACCCTGTTGAACTGCTTCCCTTGATGAGAGGGGCTCTTATTTCAGATATGATGACTTGGTGAGAAATGAGCAGATCCTGTAATTTGCACACTAATTCTCCCTCATGCCACCTGGGGGCTTCCTGCTGGCAGAGGCACAGAGTAGAGGAGAGTGGTGGGGGTCCAGCCAACAACCAGCCGTGCCACTCTCCTTCCATTGGTGAGCGATACAAGCAGCCCAGCTTGTCTCCATTCACTGTTCACTGAGCAGTTGGCAGGCTTCCCCCAGAGCGTGGGCAGGCCTGAGCAGAAGGAAGACAATGAGAGGAATTTTAAAAGCCTTTTTGCATTTTCTTCACAAGCTCTCTCAGGAGAAGTTGACTCAGCAGGTGCCCCTCTACCTTTTTCCACAGCCGTGGCACTCCTCCCTTGGATCAGTCCACAGTGCAGTAATCAAGGTTGTCCCTGAAATAAAGTACAAGGATGGGACTGGGGCTGTGTGGGGCCCAGCAACTGCTCACTGGAACTGCAACACTTAAAATTACGTTTTAAAAGCTTTCCTGAAACACACATCCCTGCAGCATAAATGTGGCTCTGTGTAGCATTTTCGCTCGCATATTCTTTACTTCTAGAAGTAACCGTCTCCAAAGACACACCAGGGAAAGTAGGAAACGACAGTCCCGTTAGCCGGTATCATTGCAGCCAGAGACCAAGTCCGCACTGAGAGAAGAGCAGGAATGTATGGACAGCTTCCTCTCCTCTGCAAGCATACATTTTCCCGACAGCCTCTGGGCTGCCAAATGGATGATGCTGCCGCTTGTGCCCCTCCGCATGCATCCCATAAACTGAGGCTGATTTTAAGATCATTAGAAAAGGAGAGAATGTTGCGCTCTTCTCAGTTTCTCTGGGGTCACAGTGTAATTGTGCAGCAGGAGAAACTGGGCCCCAGAGATGGCGTGACAGTCACTTCTCATTACCTCCCACTTGGTTCATTACGTCTGTAGACAGCAATTGCCAGCGTGTGGGTACTTCCATTATAGGGAAGGTTGTAATGTGCTCTAGACCCTGCACGGTTTCCAAATGGGGAGAAGGCTATTTATTCCAGGCACATACCTATCTTATTTCCACAGGAATGGAAAGCGACATAAGGGATAGATTAGTGGTAATCAATATGGGAGAATCAGGAAGCATGAGCGCTTGCACCAGCGAAATACTTACGTGTGTGCATCCTACTAATTCATAAGGCTTCATACAGAAGACAGAATTCTCACAAACCCACCAAACTTTGCTTTAGCAAGTAACCTTGTTCAGATACACTATATATTGGCTTCTTTGTGTCATATTCTAAATTACACACACACACACACACACCAAGAAACCTTTCTCTTTTGCAGTTATGCGCACCAGAAATTTTGACACACTAAGCAACACTATTTCATGGATACGGAGGGCCTAATTACATTATTAGCTAAAAGGAAATTAATAAGAGAGAAGACAGAATTGTAGAGAGCTAAAATAAGGATTAGCTACTATAGACTTTTTTTTAAAAGATAAAACAAAGCAAAGAACGTCTTTGCCAAAAGTAGGAGGAACCTGAAGAGTGGCCCACGGTAGAATGTTTGAGATGATGCCTATGGTGCCCCACTCCTGAAAACTCAGAGTGACATCAGCCCTGTAAAAGTTCTGGAAATTACTATCACCAAAACAATCTTACTCAATGTTACTTTAATTAATTAACAGAGCACTTTCTTACAAACTTCCTGTGACACTGTGGCAGCAGCGTAGGGAAAGTCCTGTTCCACTGTACCCCACCTCTTCAGGAGGTTTCATAATCCTCCCCACTCCTCAACTTTAGCATGCATTCAAGCCTCCGGGGGATTTACTTCTTGGTAACCTTTAGAAGCTAGCTAGAGCTTGGGCATCAGATTTCTTGACAAGTACTTCTTTTTTTTAATTGGATATTTTATTTACATTTCAGATGTAATCCCCTTACCCCATTCCTCACCACCACCACCCAGAAACTCCCTATCCCATCCCTTCTCCTCCTACTTCTATGAGAATGTGCCCCCACCGGCCCCCCCGGCGCCCGCCGCGCCGCCCTGGGGTTGCGGGATTTTCCCCCCCCCCCGCACTGGGCACCCAGCCTTCATGGGACCAAGGATCTCCTTTCCCACCTATGCCAACAATGCCTTCCTCCCCTACATATACAGCTGGAGCCATGGGTCCTCCCTATGTGCTCCCAGGCTGGTGGTTTAGACCCTGGGGGCTCTGGTTGACAAGTACTTATAATGGAGGAAGCTAACGTGTCACATGGGGAAACACCAACCCACACATTGAAATCTCTATCCAAATTCACCAGAGGCTGAACCACACAGTTCACAAGTCAGCTTGACAGTTACAGGCTTGACTCTAGACGTTGCCCAAAATTCATCATTAACTGAAACGGCTTCTTATTATCTAAACAAAAGTTGACCTGTGAATTTAACATGCCTGGCGGTCCCTTCATCAGCACGCCTAGCTTTAAAGGGTCATCTCCTCTGCCCTTGAATTCATCTGCTTATTTGATTCACCAATTCAGCTCAATTCCTTTACTCGTTCAACAATCATTTAAAAGGCATTTTTGATGTGTCTGATACTGGGGAAAATGCCAGAAGTATCCATGAGGAGAAGCCATGAGAATCCTCCTCCTCACAGGCTTACATGCTACCAAGGTAGAAAGCAGCAGCAGGCCATCGATATAGTGAATAATTAAAGACTGAATTGCATTTGAAAGAGGATAAGAGCTTCAGAGGAAAGGAGGAAATAATGCCGGCTAGGGGAGTTCAGAGTGTGGGTGGGCAGAGAACAGAAAGCAGATCTCAGACTTAAAGGGGTCAATGGAACTATGAACTCATGAAAGGTGACAGCTGAGTATTGTCTTGTCTTAACAAGGAAAGAGGGTGATCCCTTAGGTATGCCAAGTGTGAATCCAGGCATATAAAGAAAGCCAGTGTAAGGAGCTACCCACTAGGGTACCATGAAGGAGGCAGCGGAGGCATGTGGGGGTAAGAGTAGATGGGAACAAGAGGGAAAGCCACTGCAGAGGCAGCAAGAACCACTCTGTCAGGGCTTTGATGGTGCAGCATTTTGAGGAGAGAAATAATATTATCTAGCACTATTTTCCACAGATCTGGATATACTCTGAGTTTATTAACCATAGACTGGGTTACAGAGTATATATAAGAAACTGGACATGGCATCACATCTGCAAAGATGAATGGAACAGATTCCTTGCCCTCAGAATGTTCAAAGTCCCTAGGCCTCTCTGGACCTACTCACCACAGATTAATACATGGCTATTTCAAGATTATAGTACTTGACCCCTATATGCTCAAATCTCTCCCCAGTGTTTTGGCTATGGAACCTTACCATCCACATACTCTAAGTAACTAAGGAAAGAAGACCTGGAGACAAATCAGGCATGCCAAGGTGCCTGGCTCTTCCCTGAGCAGAATGTGTGGCCCCTGGCAAGATATCCACCCTCTCTCTTCTTGGCTTCTCCATCTGTTTACACAATTTCCCACAGAAGTATGTTTTTAGGTCTGAGAAGATAGCCAGCCCTGGGAGCTGCAGGGTGTAATGGAAAACTGACAATTTAAATTTTCCCTCAAATTATCATACTCTAAAATAAATAGAGTTGAGTAGATTCTCCATGTATTCAATCTGGCAGCCTTGCCTCCGCTAAAGACAAGTCTACAAGTTGGCAGACCAGAAGCGAGGAGAAAAACGATCTTAGTTCCTGGAGATAAAACCTGCTAGTTATCAACAACTGCGATTCTGAGAGAGAGAGAAGGTCTTCTGGGGAAAAGCCATTCGCAACAACAGTCTCGGTTTACAGCCTGAACTTCTCTGCCTCCTGCTCAGTTCTTTCTGTTGAGGAAGTATGTAAAAAGTTACATTGAACTTCAGCCTCAGATACAATTCCAAATTATCAGGTGTGGCTTGCTAGCTTCACCTATCGGTCAGCCATAGATGCTGAAGAGGTCAGACCTCCGTTCAGAAGAACAGAAAATAAAATGAAAGATTTCAAGAAACACTGATAGAGCAGAACTGTGGTCAGAGGCACGGCACGCGGCCTTCAGCATGCATCCACAGCCTTTTTAAAGAGTGATCTCATTTGTGTCAAACGCTCGTGATGTAATCCGGCTGAAATGGGGTGGGGAGGATGGATTAATTCAGGGATTTGGCAGGCAAATGTGGAAAGAGAAATGCAATATAATATTAGTTCAGCCTAGGGTCTATACTGGAGCTGGGCTACTCCAGATGTTTTTCTTTTGTCTTCATTAATGGTTTCTCTAAATACCATGTCTTAGCATCAGCCAAGGCAGCAAGATTTACAACATACTAATTAATAGCAAGATGCCTAGCTAAGCAATTCTGTGTCTGGCTATGTAATTATATTTTTAGAGTTTTCTCTTTCTTTTTTTTTTCTTTTACTTTTCTTCTGCCAGATTTTTTTTTTTTTACTAGTGAACAAGGGGAGTATTCATAGCATATAAAATCTCATGTGGGTGAAACATGATTAATTTTCCTGAAGCAGTAAGAAATAAGTTAAGACTCTCATCCTTGTCCAGGGTTATACTGTCTACATACATCATTTGCTCAAGGCAAGTTGTACAAGGAGCAAAACCCGTAGTACATGGATGATAACTCCAGGATATAGGTAGATGCAGCCAGCCTCATTGTCCTATTATTGAATAACTTTCAGTTCATTTTTATTTAAATTTCTTACAACGCTAGAAACCAAACTTAGGAGCTCCACATGTAAAACAAAGGTCACATATACCACTGAGCAATACCCACATACACAACTTAGTTCTTCAATTAAAATAACACGGTTTATTCAGAGAGTCTTCAACTTCAGGTTATGTATAAAGCATGACATTGTTCATGCCCTGCTAATCCCCTGACCTAGATCTAAATATTTTCTCAGCTCCTGCTTCCTTGAATAGAGGGAACTCACAGAATTCTGTTTATTGACATGTGGACACATCTATAGTACATCCAGTTACTGGAATGACAGCTTAGCTCCTGTCCTATGGGAAGTCCTATACTTTTTCTCTCAATGAGATCCATTTCACACTCTACCTGTACCCTCTCCATGCTATTGAAATGCAGCACGATCACCTTCATCGAAACTATGGCCTTGCTCACACATCACAGACAAAGTAGAGGGCTTCCCCTTCCCCTCCATCAGTGAACTCCTCCATGGTTCTCCATCCTTTCTCCTAAGTCAGAGAAGCATTACCTCTTCCATCTCCCCAGGTCTCTTCTAGGATCTCCTTACACGATCACTCTCCCTCAGACTTGGATATCTTTAAGCCAGTACTCTATGTACCCTTGCCTCTACCTTAGATCTATGTTCTCAACTTTTGACTTATCACCAATCACACAATGAAAAACACAACTCTTGGATCTCTTTAGCTTCTTACTCAGGCTGCAAATTTCCTTGTAAAAATAGTTATCTGTTCACATGACAGTTCTCAACTGGTCCAACGGTTGCTAATTGTCATCACAGGACACTTGAGAATTAGATTAAAATAATAATGGACTTTCTTTCTGGATACAAGCACTACACACACACACACACACACACACACACACACACACACACACACCTACTTCAACAGTTTGTCCTATTGGCCAGATGGTCCTGATCTACAGCTTTCTCTTTCCAGGTACACTAGAGAATCATGCTTCCTTGATGATTTGCGATAAGTAACCACTTTGGCCAATGAAATATGGGCGGAAGTGACGTGCCATGCCTGGAAGCTTTAAGAGCCTGCACGTAGTTTGCCATTCTTTCTGGTTTCACTCTGTCACTGAAATTGCTCCGTCAGCACGGGTCCTGGAGTGCTGGAGATACAGCACCAGCCTGAGACAGACATGAACAGTGAGTGGCAAATCCAGATGATCGAAGGGGCAGAGCTGGGGAGGGTCTATTACTTCAGAACACCCTTGGTCATCCTGTTCAATAGCAAAAGCACTAGTCGATTTGGGTAATCCAGTTTAGAAAAAACTGCTCCCCCTGATAGAGTTAACAGGCTCCCTCTGTTCCTCTCACCTCACGCCTCTACACTTTCTGTTCCCTTTACGTAGGAGGCTTGCAGGTGGTTCTTTCGGCTATTTCTTCTACAGCTCTCACTTCCTTAGAGAGACCCTACTTGACTTTATTACTCTCCCTATTCTAGCCCTAAACGCTACCCTGCTCATTTCCCACACCTTTCTCCCACGAATGCACCACAAGCAGTGCTTGTGTTTACTTTCTGTCTCTCCACTTCTGAATCCATCATAATGATTCACAGATAGCAAATGGCACACTACAACCCAAAAGTTTGGCTGCACATCAAGAACAAACCACTGAACCTTGGTAGTCACCCTGTGGCCATTAGGAGGTCAACCTGACATTTTGGGTTCTTTTCAGAGAGTTGTGGCTAATGGAGTAACAACCTTTGTCCCCAACCCAGTTAACCAGAGGGTTTTGTAATTCACTGGCATTTAGTTTTTGGTTTGTTTGTGTATTTTGCTTTTAGAACCATATAGTCTTGGTAGCTAGAGTAAGAATGAGTCTTTAAGTCTCAACAGCACTGAATACTTTTGTTCTGCATGCCACTTTGTGTCAGAGTAAGTCAGTAATTCATACTTGTTCAATGGATGAACATATATTCAGTATCATAAAATTAGAGAACATTTGTTTAATTTGGCAGGTGAAGACTTACTACCCTGTTTTAATATAATTTAAGTAATAATATGGGGCTTAATGTTTCCCAAACTGAACAGACAGACATGTGTGCACACATGTTTATGTCTCTGACTAATTGTATTGACTAAAGACAAAGACTATTCTAATTTCAAAAACCAAAATTTTAGTGTCATTTCTCACATATACAACAACTAACCATTTGTTTTCTAAAAGAAACTATGCATGTATGTGGTATGATTATATACATGTAGGCAAGACATTCACACTCATAACATATCTTCAAATTTTAAAAATTATCTGTTTAAATTTAGAAGCAAATAATTTAAAAGGAGTGTACAAGTTTCCTATTTTTATTGTGATTGTAAATAAATGAGGTTTTTAGATGTATTTGTGTATTTACTTTGATTTAGATGTCTGTGTGTGACCATATCCATATCACAGGCATGAAGGAGCCCAGAAAAGGACATTGGATCTTCTGGAACCAGATACACATGGTTTTGAGCCCTTGTATGGGTGCTGGGAATCCAACGTGGGTCCTCTGTAGGAATAGCAAGTGCTCTTAACTGCTGAGGCATCTTCCCCTCCCATAAATAAAATATTTTCACAGACCTAAGGAAATTCAGATGCTTAGCACTCTCATTATACTATGTGAGACTGAGGAAATATTCACCAGAAATCTATATCTCTTCAGAGACTCAATATTATAAGGAGAAAGCATTAAAAACTTCTGGATCAGTACTTAGACAATAAATAGGCTAATTTCTAGGGATGGGTTATGGCTCAGTGGTGGAGCATTTGCCTAGCAATATGACACCCTGGGTTCAAGCCCTAGGACCACAACAAATAAAATGGAATAAGATCAATCAAAGTGTTCATGAAAACAGTGAAACAAAATATCTAAAAATTGCTATAAAGAAGTCTCTTACTTTAGAAATGAGAACCAACTTAGCTTTGACTTCTATGAAATGTATTTGTTGTTGTTGTTGTTGTTGTTGTTGTTTTTCTTAGATTTCCAAGGTATCAGTGTACATTGCTGTCTGATATCTGAGTTTTGGGATTGTTTTACCCTTTTCTCCCCCAGTCAGTGTCTTATGTAACCCAGATTGGCCTTGAACTCACTATGAAGTCAAGGCTGATCTTAAACCCCTGATCCTGCTGCCTCTAACTCCTGAGAGCTGGGATGATAAGCATTGCACTCTCACCATGTCAAGTTCTAGTTAGTTCCTCTTTTAAACTACAACGCATCTTCAGTAATCCTATCTCTTGTGTGTAGGTGGTACATAAGAGCTAAGTTTTTCTGCTTATTTGATGTGAAACTCCATATAGAAAACTTAAACATAGTACAAGTGGTTCAGGTTGGTGCTAAAGGTTTGTATCTCCGTTTGTTTCCTCTCAATTTGGAAAGGAGATTGTGAATCAGTGTCCTTATTTTAATCTAATTTAAGAAATAAGGTGGCTTTTAATGTTTACAAAATTGGATATATATGAATGTGTACAAGGTAGAAGGATTTTAATTTCTTAATTGTCTGTACATCATCTGCATACCTGGTGCCTATGGAGATCAGAAGAAAATGTCAGATCTCCTATAACTGGAGTTACATATGGTTTTGAACCACCTTATAGGTGCTGGAAATTGAACCTGGGTCCTCTGGAAGAATAGCTAATGCTCTTAGCAACTGAGCAATGTTTCCAGACCAGGTAAAGGAGTTTTGAAAAGCTGTTTAACATGCTGCGACTGGTGGCACATGCCTGTCATCTCAGTACTGAAGAGGCAGAGGCAGGAGGATCAGGAGTTCAAGGACATCGTTGGCTACACAGTAAGTATGAGGCTGCATGAAACCCTGTCTTCAAGTAGCAAAAATAACAAGGTATTTTGCATAAAAGTCATTTCTCCACTCACCACTTCAGCGTAGACAAAAGAAACTCTTTTCTGTTCTACTAAGCAATGCCTGCCAATATGTAACTTCAACAGAATTGTTGCTATAGTAATGCAAAGTAGATAAACACTGAATTGTGCTATGAAAACTTACAGCTGAAATAGGGTGGTATTAAAGCCTTTGTTTAATAGTTCTGACTCTATGTATTTTCCTTACTGTGTGTCCTCTATAATGGGATCCGAAATAATGATGTCCTTTAACTCTAAAAGCAATGTATGTAAATGAAAATGTCATAGCTGGTGCTCTAGGTTAGAAAATCAGGAGATGCTAAGAACATGGCTTTATATGAAAGCAGCAAACACGGATAACAATGGCTTCAAATGGTGCCAATTACTTTCTTTCATTTAATACAAAATCCCACTGTATAAAACAAAAGCCAGCCAAATTTTCTACATGAAGATTCACAGATGCTTCGACTTACAAAAGTGTATGCTTTCTCAGGTTTCTACATGCCTTTCATTCACTTTGCCAAAGAGTCTATTCTGAAATACTGCCCCTCTGACAGCATTTAGGTGATGCAAACCTCTATGTTTATTAGAGAATCATAGGATGAGTCTCTTTAAAGTGTCTGGCTCTGCTCTGGCTTGTTTGGCATGAGAGCTAGACTCTTGCATTGCTAACAAGGCATCTGGTAGATGTGAGGGTGACTATTAAACTCTGGTTGCGTTTGATCTTGCCAATTATGTTTTATAAGACAGAAAAAAAGGTCTATCAGTCAGCTTAAAGATTATAGTTTTATGGAGACACTATTTTAGAAGATTGATACTGCCTGTGGTTCTAAAAATTAAAACAAAAAACCTTGTTTTGAAAACTATAACTCTGATATGCCCATTGATGTTGTACGGCTTCACTTATGGTTGATAATATTATCAATCAACTAAAGAATGAATAAGGATGATGGTGTAGCTTTGACCTTAACTATCACCAGAGGGCTTATCTGTTAAGATTTAGTCCAGAGATGACAGTGTTTGTGGGAAACCTTAGAAACCCCATAACTCAGGTAAGTGAGAAGGAAGTCTTCAAAGCACTTGGGACATATGCTTGAAGGGGACTGGTCCCCTTGAATCTGTCCTCTTTCTTTTTATCTTTCTGGCCATGAAGTGACCATGTGGTCAGTGAGCCATTGATTGAAACCGTCAAGATTGTGAACTGTAATAAGCCTTTTCTCTCCAGTATTCGTTACAGTAACAGAAAGCTAGCTAACACGGTAGAAAGAAGAGAGGGAGTCTTAAGTAGATAGGGAGTTGAGGAAAGAAAATTTATAGCATATGTTATGTTGTTTCTCTACTATTTCCTCACTCGTAGTAAATATTTTATGATGTAATGTCAAGAAGCCTTGTGTGTGTGCATGTGTGCGTGGGGGGTGTGTTCATGTGTGAACACACACATGCATGTGTGTGTGTGCAGATATGTTCTCCCATTAGTGTATGGTAGAGGCCAGAAGTTGACACCAAGATGTCTTCCCCTTCCCCTATGGTTCTCTACCCTTCTATTTATTTATTTATTTATTTATTTATTTATTTATTTATTCATTTATTCATTTATTCATTTATTCATTTATTCATTTATTTACTTATTTGAAACAAGGTCCCTCACTGAACTTGGAACTCACTGCTTCCACCAGGCTAACTGATCAACAAGCCCCTAGAATCTACCTGCATCTGTGTCCGAGAATTACAGAGTGCTCATGATCCTCACAGTTACATAATAAGCACTCGACCCATTAAGCTACCTCCCCCTTGCTGTGTTTTCTGTTTTTATGTTTTATCAAGATGCTAGTCAATAGTACATCTCACTTAGCATCTCACTTAAGCCCAATTTTCACATTCAGTTTGAAGAAGTGGACGAGTTTGAGTCATGGCATTGGATAAGCAAGGGTTTCAGGTCAGCTTTCAACATTTACTCTTGATCTTGGTCAAGATTTATGCTTTTGACTGTTTTTCCATCCATAAAATTAAAAGGTGTCTCTTACAATGCTCTGAATGTTACATGAATCCTACGTTGAGACTATCTTCATAAATGACAGCAAATACTCTTAGTTTTAAAATCTAATAACGCTTAGTTCTAATTTGACTTCTTTGCTTTATTTGGCTTTACCATTTCATAACTCTTTAAAATGTTTTCTTATTTAGTTTTATGTTCTATCCTTTTCTGTTATCTACTTCTTTCTTGCTATTAACTACAATTACTTTCTCATAGATTCTACTCTCGATGATGCTTTTATCTTATCTTTTTATTTTTATGTGTACAAGT